ATTTCCCCATCTGGACTGATACTTCAACCATTGCCTACATTACAACAAATACTGCATTGTTCCCAAATTGTGTCTGAAGAATGAATAGACTTAAATTGAACAATATGCTGTCCACAGTTATAATTTCCCTGATGCACAGATGCAGACATTGCGATAAAAAAATTATGTTTGAAGCTTACGCCAACTGATTAAATTGTTTCAAGCTTTACACTGGACTTGTCAATACCATAATTAGTATTGCAATATTGCCTTTAATCCTAATGGAGTGGACTTCTTTGATGTCTATAGAGTACCATAGCGTAAGTCTTGTTTGATGTTCTATATAGAAAGCCATAGCATTAGAGTAGATTATTGGAGTAAAAGGTACAAATGAGACAATATAGATCACACAGACTTTGGAGTGTACAAGAGGATAACATGAAAGAAATGGTCAGGGATATCATTAGTCTTAGAACTTTGAAGTGAATGCGGCCTGAAAGCTAAATGGGATCTTTCTATTGCGTCCGACTCTTGAAACAATGAAATAAAAGTGTATTGTATAGTAAAAGCTGGGGTCATTTCATATCAGGATGCCAGACGCGCAACCGCGGCCAAGGAGAGCCAGACTCACCTAACTCTGCAAGATGAATTAGATCTAAATATTTCACTTTTTCTTTCACTATCATGGACACAAGCTTTTGTATTACTTTTTGGAAATATTTGAGTAATGTTATTCACTTCCATCACTTAGAAACAATTTGACCAGTCATTTTTACAGAGATTAAGGTGCATGCCTTGACTTTCGGACCAGATTTTCCAACACAACAACAACACAACATTCATGACAAAACACCACCCACAAGACCATGTTCATGACAAAACACCACCTACAAATCCACCTTCATGACAAAACACCACTTACAGCACCACATTCAGAACAAAACACCACCTACAAGACCACGTTCATGACAAACACCACCTACAACACCACGTTCACAAACCATGTTCATGACAAAAGACCTCTTACAAGACCACGTTCATGACAAAACACCTCTTACAAGACCACGTTCATGACAAAACACCTCTTACAAGACCACGTTCATGACAAAACACCTCTTACAAGACCACGTTCATGATAAAACACCACCTACAAGACCACGTTCATGACAAAACACCACCTACAAGACCACGTTCATGACAAAACTCCACCTACAAGACCACGTTCACAAAACACCACCTACAAGACCACGTTCATACAACAAAAACCACGTTCATGACAAAACACCTCTTACAAGACCACGTCATGACATGACAAACAAAACACCTCTTACAAGACCACGTTCATGACAAAACACCACCTACAAGACCTTCATGACAAACTCCACCTACAAGACCACGTTCATGACAAAACACCTACAAACCACATTCATGACAAAACACCTCTTACAAGACCACGTTCATGATAAAACTCCACCTACAAGACCACGTTCATGACAAAACACCACCTACAACACCACGTTCATGACAAAACACCTCTTACAAGACCACGTTCATGACAAAACACCACCTACAAGACCACGTTCATGACAAAACACCACTTACAACACTACATTCAGAACAAAACACGATCTACATGACAAAACACCACCTTTTCAGTCCAAATTAAAACAAAAAATTCCGCTAAAGGTTTTTGATTTAACTTTGCCGTTTATAAAGTCTGAGAAATGTATTTTAAATAATTATCTGTCTTGTGGTCATTAGCCTAGTAGCCCCAAGCAAGCTTTTAAAGATTCATCCGTCTTCTTATGCTTTATCTGGAGCGAGGCGAGTAGTCTGAGCATGAACTTCCACACTTCTGTTCCCAGGTCAGCCAAGAGACATAGTCCCTCCAGCATGTCCTGGGTCTTCCCTGGGACCTCCTTCTGAGTGTTTTTAATGATTTTTGGTATCAGTTAGAGATCGACTGATATGTTCTTGTTTGTTTTTCACTGAATAGAGAGAAACCGATGGCTGATAAGCTCTGCCAATAGTTTTGGGTCGATATGTAGGACCGATTTTAACCACAATCCTTTAACAGAGCTGTGTGGTCACATTTTGTGCAGCTATCTCTTCATTTTAAATTGTTAAAATAAAGCTTTGTGTTTATTTTTATGCAAGAGATCGACCAAAACAAAATATCGGCTGATGCTGGAGATCTGATTAAAGTTTAAATATCTGCCCAACGGATATATCGAGCTAGGGCTGCTGGGTTATGGAAAAACTCATTATCACGATTATTCTAATCAATACTGAAATCACGATTATTCAAATGATTATTTTTAATTACACGATGCACACTTTGTTATTGATAATTCACACAAAACTTTCAAATTGTAACTTAGAGCAGTTTTGCCATATATAAAACATAAAATGAATAAAATATACATTGAACATGAAATAAGGCATAGAAAAACATTAATGTATCCATAATAAACTATATATCCAGCTGTTCTACAATCTCTATATTGAAAAAATAAAATAAATATATATATAAAAAATATCTTCGTTTCAACTCGATTGTATGAGTTTGGAGATGGTTTGACACACAAATCGAAATCGCAATCAAAATTCAGTTAATTGCAATATTAATATGCGTATATTGACATCTATATTTATTTTAAGAACTTCATATCCAGATTTTATTTGAGAAAGTTTAGAATCGTTATTGTTCTTTGCATTCATTTGTCAGTGACTTTTTAAACTTTATAAACAGTTGTATTCGTCTTGGTCTCTCAAAACTGTCACCTGCAGTTCCAAACTCTATACATTTTCACTCAAATTCACAATTGTATTTACATAAGCAAAAATATGCACACCTTGAGATTTTCCTTAACAGAATTCTTATGTAAAACTGCTGATAACTTGTGAGCACGGTTATATAAAAAAAGTCAATGCCCAATTTCACTGTGAGTTCAGAAAGTCCCTACGGATTTGAATTTTACATATCATTTGAATAGCAGACATCTTTCAGGCCAATGCGGCTGTACTCGACCCACACAGACCCATCTTTTTCCTATTAGATGAAGCTATTTCCCTTTTGTAATTTCCATAGGTTCTCGATTCCAGTCTTCTGTCACATTATCTGCTCCTCTCCCCTCTCTCTCTGCCTCTCCGTATGCAGGATGTCAGTCTGTCATCGCTACGCCATGTCCAACTTCTCTCCCGTCAATCAGAGCTGCCCTGGCCACCATGTGCAGCTCAGAGAGGAACACTATGGCTAATGCTAATACTTTTCACACTCTATAAGGTCTTTTTTTCTTTTTTTTTTAGATTAAAGTGTCAATTTAGGTTTTTCAAGGGTTTCTAGTTGAGGTTGCACATTTTAAACACATCCAACATTTGGGAGAAGACTGAAATATGAACTTATCACCTATAAAAGAATCACAATCTTTTGAACATGGTTATAATTATAATATTAAAGTGGAACTAAACACTAATTACACTTTGAAAAATGTGTATATGGTGTTTAAGTAGTATTATCTAATCTGGTTAAAAACATCTACAAACTAAGTGTGTGCTGGAATACCGGCTTGAACGTCCCCTTGGCTTGAAAGTCCCAGCTCGAGCGTCCCATTCTCTTGGCTTGAACGTCCCCCTCCTCATTCTCGCCGGCCTTTAGTCGGCCGTGTCATGCATTGTGATGTATTGAGTTAGAAAATCAGCATTCTGTATCATAATAAAATGAAATGTGAATGTAGTGAGACCAAATATCGGGTCTTTTTTATGTCATTTTACTGATCTTCCCGAAGCTGCGCACATTTTTTCAACCTGTAATATCAATATAATCCTCATTTGCTTGCAGAAGTTTACTATGAAATTGTATTTTAAATAATTTTTCTTGTTCCCCATGTCCTATAGCATCTGTAACTGTTGATTGTGAAAGAAATATTAATTATTTCCTTACCTGCTGCCATAATTTGTAAGCAGCGGAACATAAGAAACTTAAAAAGCTACAGAATTTGTTAAAAAAAATCATTCAGAATCACTTTTAGGAAAGTCTTAACTGTGTCTTTCATTGAAATATGTCAGATAAAATCCTGAAATAGTTGTGGCACATTTATTGAGAAGACAGGAGTTTCTGAGGCAGTGTGTCTCACTGGTGGACTATTCCACAGGAGTAATTTTACACACTGTATTTACTCAATTTGTGTGTGGTTGAGACCACATCATTTTTGCATGTTTTGTTTGTATGTATGAACAAATGTGTTGAGATATATTGTAACTTACGTGTGTACGATACAATATATATATAAAATGGAAAAAAATATATATATTTCTATGTATATAACTTAACTAACTTTCATAAAGGGTACAATTCAGGGGGACTTTCCAGCTTCCCGTGTGCTGCCTTCAGTGGCATCTGCAATTTCCAGTAGTTGGTGACATCACACAAGACTCATTACAGATACCTAGCTACAGGGGCAGTTTGAGAAGTGGATAATTGTTCAACCAATCACACTGTTCCTTTACCTCCAGAACCCGCCCCCTCCACTCCCCTCACTATCCCTTTAGTCCTCCTTTTGGCTGCTCTATTGAAATACTTTAACTACGTGCATAGCAGGATTTTCACATAAAAAAATATTGTGTTGTTTACAGAAGACAGTCTATTACTACAAATTATTGCAGCCTTTGCCATTTCATAATTGAGCCAATTCAAATAAATTTTGATTGGATTGCCGTAAAGTTGAGTAAACGATACAAGATATACGACAGCCAACAAAACGTCCTCTACAAAGTTATAATATTCTTTGTCACTGAATAAAACACTGTTAATTAGACGTCTACAAACATGTTCTGAAAGGCATGTGATTCTTGTATTAGTTTTTATCAAATGTTACAGCATGTACTAAAAAAATTACAATATGAAAAGCAAAAAAAAAAACCCAAAATACTAAATGAATCAAAATCTGAACAAATGTCACACCTTACATATTTTCAGTCTAGGTTGATGTTAATGTGGTGCTTGTGTTTTTGTGTTGCAGGACGGGATGGGCAGCCTGAAGTTGAACCAGGATGGCATCCGGGTGGAGGGGAAATCCGAGTTTCTGTCTCCTCTTTATGTGAATGAGATCCAGTCCAGAGGGGTAAGTGTGTGTGACGGCATCACTATCAGTTTCCCTTTAATACAGGAGAGTTTGGTGGTCTAATTTTCTCCACCTTCAAGTTGTTTTTTTGCTTATTGAACTTTCATAATATCCTACAAAGTAACTGTGCTTATTAAAACAGCTATTTAAAGGTGAATTAGAGGCACAAGTCACATTTTTACTCAAGCAAATTTTAAATAAAGAAATGCATTCAAATATGGATTATCTGTGCACCAGCAGAATTAGGGATGCACTGACCTGATACTGGTATCAGGCTTCGATATTGAAAAATTTGCTGGATCAGATATCAGTTCATTTAAGATACTGGTTGAAACTGTAAACTGATGCATTAAGGCTAGGAGTGTAACGATATCCAAGTCTCACGATATGATATTTTCACGATATACACGATCATATCATCTCACGGTACGATATTTATTGTGATATTTTGTGGAGGCTAATAAACTGTGAATATGCTACTTTTTCCTCTGAAAATGCCTTGACAAGATTTAATCCAAAGACCTAAGACTTAAAAGTGCTTAGAACTTGTTGTCTGCACTGAAATAGAGCAAAGGATCATGGTCTATGTAGTTCTCTCTTTGTTTTTTTTTTAGCTATTGCTGCACCATAACTCTTAATTTAAGCAACGAGACTTGTAATTTGATATATTGTGATCCACGATGTGTCCACGATATTATTGTGAGAACTTTGACGATACGATATCATGATATTTTGGTTATTGTTACATCCCTAAATAAGACGATTTACTGGTTGTAGTTGGCCCAAAAAGTCTCATAATGTTTGTTGTAGTGTAGTTACTTGAGATATTTAACAGGTACATAACACATGTGGATCACAACTGTCTTATTTTATTTATATATTTAGTTAATAAATGCTGTTTTCAGTCTCTGCACTAGTATCATTTAATATCGACTATCAGCAGATACTTAAAGCCACAGTGTCAGAACTGAAAAAGCTGGATCAGTGCATCCCTAAGCAGAGTGTATGGGAAACATTACTTATTATAAACCTGCGCGGAAAGATGAATTCTCACAATATCTGTGAGTCAACAAACTCAGAAGAATCCATCCATCAGTGGTTCACACCAATCACAGAGCAGCACTGCGGTTTGGGTGGAAGCCAGAGGTGAAGCGCCCAAACAAATCAAAACAAACAGAAGTACTTTTGCCTATTTTAGCAGAAATACAGACTGTTTTGTTTGGGGAAAAATGTGCAAAAATAAGCTCTTTTATGGATGAGAAAGATGTTTGTGCTTTCCTCTCATCTGAATCACAAATCAAATCAAAATTACAAAATCTTTTACAAAATTGCTCCACCCTATTCAGTTCGAAAGTTAAAATCAATTTATCAGCTATACCTTACAGTACGGGTACAGTTCAGAGCCGCGATGGAGAGCTCATTTCCTTCTCCTTCCTACCGCGCTCTATCAAGTCTCCCATCGACTGGAGATTGGTAATAACTCCTTTCACCTCTGCCACTTTTAAACCTTTTTACAGATATTAAATGAACAGAGCGAGACTTCCGTAGACTTCTCCTTCTGGATTACCATTCAGACCCTGTCCTCCCAATCCGCCCCCTTTGATGTTTAGTAGATTAACCAGCACGACCCGCAGAAGTTGTTCCAAATTTTCCCTTAGCACAATTGGATCATCCTCCTTTTCAGTGATTAGCTATGCCGCAGTAGCAATTCCAGGCTCGGCAAACCGGATAGCGTGTAAATTTGTCCTTTTTGTGCATTGAAATTGGCTCGATTGTAGCTTAAATTTGCCACAGTGGATAGAGAAACAACTAGCGAGTGCCCACTTGGTCTTTGATGTTGTAGCCAGAGCTCAAAGTTCATTCAAAGACACTGGATTTTTGTAAACAGCAAGCTAAGGGGTTGAGTGTAGAGTGTAGGGGCTGCGATGCTGAAGTGTCTGCCAGGTCTTAAGGGATTGAACAAGGGCTAATTCAGGAACAAGTTAAACAGAAACTTGACTGGAGTAAGCAGAACTAATCCAGGACTAAACCAGGACCAAACCAAACACTTTATTTTTAAGATTTTTACAGCAGACTTTCATCCACAGGCTTTATTTGACAGAGTGAAATGGGGTGAAGAGCAGAAAGACATTCAGCAAATAGTTGGAATACATGTCACGACGCTGTGGCTGGCACAGACTCTGCCATACGCTATGCATCTTAGACCACTTTTCTCCTGGCAGCAAATTATTCAAGTAGTTTATTTATCTTCACTGTGTAACCATTAGTAATCAAGGACTGTCAAGTACCACTTTTTGGATTACCCTGGTGACAGCATTTCAATATTATTTACTATACAGAAGATTATTTTAGACATATACTGCACTACACTGAATATTCTTATTTAGCAAACCTCCATAACTCCATAATTTTCAGTATTACCAATTTTTCTATACATCTCTCACCCAGAGATTAAAGGAACTGTATCTCGGATCACATATTTTAAAAAACTGTGTCACAGTCACAGCTGTAATAGAATTTAAGTAATTTATCCTTCACGTACGTCTCTCAGTTTAACATTGACTCACAGGAGTTATAGTAACACAATCATCTTCCCTTGGCATACCATTGGCATACTATTATCTAAATTGTGCCATATTGCTCACTAACCGGTGTCTACTGGCCTTCATAGTCTCACCACACTTACTTATAAACCTCCTCCTTTGGAAGCTTAGTCAAGGAGCTTAAACACTCAAAGATCATACTATGTTCACTTTTCAAATCATACTATGTCGAATTTTTTAGTCCCCCCAGGCCTGTCTTATTGATGGTAAATAAATTTCTCCAGCTTAAAACGAGATCCAGTTGGTCTCCAGTCTTTTACTTGCACCCTTTTTTGGACAAGCTGAAAACTTCTAGTCAGGCTGGTGCCACCCAGTGCCTCTGTTCAATTTAATTTCTCTCCAGCGACTAGGTCAGGAATCAGAATACACTAGATGGTTTGCAAGAACCCCGGAAGTTGTAGACCGTGCACCGGCCAATCAGCGAAGAGCTGTGAAGTCATGTCTGGGTCCCTTTTGTGGTTCAGCACAACAGTAAACAAAGCGGTCGAGATGGATGTAGATGAAGCCATACATTCTGTGTTGACAATGATTCCCGACATCGAGGATTTAAAGCCGGAACAAAGAGAATGTTTGGTGAATTTTATCAAGGGGAAAGACGTTATTGTCCTTCTTCCTACAGGATTTGGGAAAAGCTTAATATACTAGTTGGCCCCGTTAGCAGCGCATTACATACGTCATGACCAAATAGCAGCGACTGATTAAATAAAAAAAGTACCCACCTACCATTGAATGAACAAATCCTAATGCTGCGAGGTCAGAATCAGGTTAGAAAACATCTACAACAACAACCAAGCCTTAGTTGCGAGTGCCTTATAACCTGCTCATAAAAGATACATGCACGTTTTTCAGTAAAAGCCTCGTGTGAAAGTTCTGAACCGTTAGAACTAACTCACTGCGCTGAAAAGGCTGCACTAGCACTGACTCATGATGGCTACAGAGGCTGAGGTAAGTCCTTTTTAGTTTTAGCACTGAAACTGGTGACCCAAATGAGAAACTAGTGAGACTCATTCTACTTTCTGGTTGGATAATCATTTGCTGCCTCCTACTGTTTTATATAAGTACCTTCTCTCATCACAGATCATGACATCTCCCACACACATGGCCTTACCAGAGACCCAGAGCACTGATCTCATTTGGCCCCTGTGTTACTACCTGTTGACATTTTTACTGTCTTGTTTTACAGACAGCCTGGGTCTCATAAAGGACCCGTCTTATCTTTCTGTAACAGGACAAAATGGGAGCAGCTCAGTCGATATTTCTCACCTGAGGAAGTGTGTCGAACTCCGAGGAGAGGGGGATTACGCGGTTCAGTGTGGAGCGCAGTGCAGTTCCTTTGTCAGATAACCAGCCCTGATCAATAAGCCATTACCACGTACAACAGTGAATACTTTACTGTCTAAGAAGTACTGTGTATAGGATTGAAAACGGCGGGGAGGAACCGCTAAATAGACTTAAAAACAGTGACTAAGGAAGAAGCACGTATATTTTAAAAGTTTTTAAAGTGACGGCAACTTGTGTCACTGATCTGGGCTCAGTGATATGGGGAAAATACTATGGGAAAGTACACCTAATTAGCCTTAAAGCTGCACTGTGTAACTTTTTGGTTGGGGGCCCATCACTTGCTTGTTTCTATGGATATGCCATCGCCCTGGAATGTTCCGCAGTATAACATTAAACAGCTCTACCTTACATTCATTCAATTACAGGTGGTTTTATATCTCAAAAATACGTAGAAAAACAGGCATTCTGACTTTGACTGGGGTCGCCTCTCCACAGATCTGACCTGTAACTTGGTCTGGTTTGGTCTCCATGAAGATGAGCTGTTTATCCAAAATTGTATTATTGTATAAGCAGCTCTTGAGGTCAAAATTAGTCCACTGTGTACTGTCTCCAACTAATTATTAAGTGTGTTACTGTGCGATAATCAGGAATTTCATGGTTAGCATGCTAGCTGTTGACAGGAAAACTCAGTTCTGGTTTCTGAGAGCTTTAGAAAAAAATGTGAAAATGATGATGATTTTTATTACGTATTATTACGCTAATAAAGCCTGATTCATCAGACGGTTTCACTTCATGGAAATGCTGACCTCACAGCATTAGGATTCGTTCACTCGACAGTAGCTGGGTACTTTTTTTAATTTAACCAATCGCTGCTATTTGGTCGTGACGTATGTAATGTGCCGCTAACAGGGCTAATTGGTATATTAAGCTTTTCCAAAATCCCATAAGAAGAAGGACAATAACGTCTTTCCCCTTGATAAAATTCACCAAACAGTCTCTTTGTTCCGGCTTTAAATCCTCGATGTTGTGAATCGTTGCCAACACTGAATATATGGCTCTTCGCTGATTGGCTGGTGTTCGGACTTCCACTTCCGAAGTTCTTGCAAACCGTCTAGT